ACATAATTCTATCTTCATTAGACGAAAGTTTTGATGACTACGTAACTTCCCTTGAAATATTGCCTAAAGAAAGCCTAAATTTAATAGATATCACTGGCAGATTGATTGAAGAGGCCAGAAGAAGGCTTGAAAGAGATCAGTTAAGGAGGGAGCAACCTCAAAAGGAAAATAATGAATCTACTACTGCATTCACAATTAAAAAGTGTTTTAATTGTGGAGGGAGAGGACATTTATCAAGATTTTGTAAGAAACTAAAGCGCAAGAATGCAAGCCAGAATGCTGTAAACCAACAAAGAAGAAATAAGAATTATGAGTTAGCAATGTATAGTAATGGAGTTGTAAAAAATAATTTATGGGTAGTTGACAGTGGTGCATCCCACTGTATTACAAATGATAACAAAAAATTTGTAAAAATGTCCATGAGTTCACAGCATATCTCATTGGCAAACGGATGGAAACTTAAAGCAAAAGGTGAAGGTATAGCTCATTGTTCTAGTATAAATGAGAACATAAAAATGTTATATGTACCTCAACTTAAATTTAATTTGCTTTCTGTTAGAATGTTGGTTAGATTAGGATACATAGTTACCTTTAGGGGAGATACTTGTTTAATTGAAAAAGAAGGTAAGAAAATTACTGCATCTTTAAGAGGTGATTTATATGTGTTAAATGATAATGGTTTAAAAGTGGCTAACACAGTTTATGAAAATAAGAAACCTCATAATGAATGTATTCACTTGTTACACCGAAGGTTAGGTCATTTAAATTTTAAAATGATTAAGAGAACTGTTCAACTATCTAAAGGAATAAGTTTGAAACCTTGTAATAAGTATTTGCAATGTTCTGCTTGTAATCAAAACAAAAGCAAAGTTATACCGGCAAATAGAATTGATGGATTTACTACCAAAGAGCCTTTAGAGGTAGTATTTGCCGATATAATAGGTCCTAAAAAGCCAAGTGTAGGTGGTGCTAGATACATATTAAGCATAATGGACCACTATTCTAGGTATGGTTTCTGTTTTTTAATGAAGAGAAAAACTGAAACGTATACAAATTTCTTTAATTGGTTAAAATTTGCAGAGAGGAAAACTAAAAAGAAATTAGTAACTCTTATAACAGATAATGGTGCGGAATTTACAAATAATAAACTCCAGAATAGACTTAGAATGGCAGGTATTCAACATAAAAAGTCTGCACCATATAGGCCTCAGCATAATGCATTTATTGAGAGAAGAGGCCAAACACTGCAATCAATGGGAAGGACAATGTTATCTGATTCTGGATTACCTGACAATTTGTGGGGAGAAGCTATAATGTGTGGTAATCACATATTAAACAATGTTGTTAATTCAACAACAGGTGAATTACCATTCACTCTGTGGCATGGTAGGAAACCTGATTTGAGTTATATTCACACATTTGGTGCACCAGCATGGGTGCATATCCCTACACAACTCAGGCACAAAGGACAACATAGAACTAAAAGATTAATTTTTGTTGGATATCAAGCAAACCATAGATCTTATAGATTCTGGGAACCAGGTACATCTAGAGTATACTGCAGTGCTAGTGCACAATTCCTAGAACATATAGGATGGAATAGATTAGAGCAGGATTCAGATAATGATGTTATTATAGAACACTACAAGAGGCAGAAAGAAAAGACTAGTTATAAGAAAAGTCCAATTAAAGAAGAAGTCCATGAAGAGCAAATAGAACCAGATCAAGAGGAAATAATTGATCAAGAAGAGATATATAGTCAAGAACAGGAAATAAAGGAAAGTCCACCTGTAAGTCCTGTTATACCTAGACGCACAACGCGTATAACTAAACCACCTGAAAGATATCAGGCGAGTATTGTTTGCCAAGTAAATAAAGTTCCTACTAGCATAGATGAACTTAAGATGTATCCTGCTAAGGATCAGGTGAATTGGCAAAAAGCAATGGAAAAAGAGTTAAATTCATTAAAGGAAATGAAGGTTTATGAAGAAACCAAATTACCTCCAGGAAAAAAATCCATTGGATGCAAATGGATATTTAAAGTAAAGACTGGAAATAATGGGAAAGTAATTTATAAGGCTAGGTTAGTAGCACAAGGATTTAACCAAAATGTATTTGATTATGATGAGGTTTTTGCACCAAATCTTAAGGCTACAACTTTAAGAGCTGCTCTAGTGTGGGCAGCTAAGAATAATTATATAGTTAACCATTTAGACGTAGAAACTGCATATCTACATGCACCATTGCAGCATACAATATATTTGAAAAAACCAATTGGTATAAATGATAATAAAGTAAATAGCAATGATTGTTGGAAACTCAAGAAGAGTTTATATGGATTGAAACAATCTGGCTATGAATGGAACCAATATATTGTGAAAGAATTAAACAATATAGGGTTTAAATCTGGTTTAGCAGATCCATGTATGTTTAAAAGAGAAAATAATGGAACGTGTCATTATTGTTATTATTTACAGATGATATTGCTTTGATTACTAAGACCAATAATGAAGCTACTGAGATTATTTCATTATTAGCCAAAAGGATAAAATTAAAGCATTTAGGTGAAATTAAAAAGTATCTAGGATTGACAATTAACAAAACCACAAAAGGATTTAAGATATCTCAAGAGGATAAAATTTGCCAATTAATTAAATTGTATAAAATGGAACTTTGTAAGCCTGCAAAGACTCCAATGAGTCAGGAAATTTGCAAAATGGATGCTCAAAGTCCCAAATTTGATAAGACCATATATCAATCTTTGATTGGTAGCTTATCATATATAAGCAATTGGTCTAGGCCAGATATAGCTTATAGTATTAATCAGCTGGCACGATATAATAATGATCCACATCAATGTCATTGACAAGCATTAAAGAGAATTTTAAGATATCTTAAAGGAACAATGCATCATGCATTGTATCTAGAGCCAAAAGGTGTTTTGAATCTTAGTGCCTATGCAGATGCAAGTTTTGCAACTGACATAAACACTAGAAAATCAACATCTGGGATGGTTATATTACTTGATAAGACTTTAATAGGGTGGAGGTCAATCAGACAACAGCATATTAGCTTGTCAAAGATGGAAGCAGAATTTTCATGTCTGTCATTACTATGCACTGACTTAATTCTGTACAAACAGTTATTATTAGACATGGGTATAACTGTTAAAGATTCTATTATTGTGTACGAGGACAACCAGGCAGCTATACAATTAGCTACTAATATTGCTGTAAAGACTAGATCAAAGCATACTGATTTAAGATACTTAAATGTTAGAGAATCTGTAAAAAATGGTCTAATTAAACTTGAGTACTGCATGACGGAAGAAAATATTGCAGACCAGTTTACAAAAGCACAAGGTGTTGTAAAATTTAAAGAGAGTTGTGACAATTATGATTTGAAAGTGTAAATGAATATATTATTGTAATATTTATTATTATTACCCAAAAGGGGAGAATGTTAGGGATAACATTGTTTTACCCTAACTGTTTTGGGTAAAGATAATAAAATGATGAATCATGGTTTGTCAGATAAAGTGTATGTGACTTTAAGCTAAAGGAATGTAATTAAGGGTGCAGCTGTAAAAGTACTATATAAGCAGCAAGGCTCTCTCTGGCTAGAAGATCCCTAATTACTGGCTGGCTTATTGAAGACTGCATTCTTGCTGAAACGGGGAGTGAAGAAGTGTGTTGATATTTCTCAACTGAGAGAAGATTGGACAGATTTATTGTAAGTGTACTGACATTGGCTATTCAACACGGACTTTGCAAATAGAGTATCCCTGACAAGACTTGACTGAAATTGATATATGACTACTGGACTGTTTACATGACTATGCTATAATTCTTAAATGGAATAAATTATATTTTTGATAGCACAAGCGTATCTGTATTTTTACTGCGTGTTAACTAAAAAGCTTATCTCACACATTTGCCTGTCTTCCTATCTGACTTCGCTGCACATTCTGTTTAGTTTGTTTTCCTTAACACCCGTTGGGGAATCCAGGCTTAACAATGACAATAAACTAAACTAAACTAAACCAACTTCTGCAAGAGTTTGATTCAGCACCACGCTACCAGAGGAAAAGTGGGGTGGGGAGAATCTAAGGGGCTGCCTGTCTATGAAGACATCCAGGCTATGGTTGTCCCAAAGGTGCTTTTTTCAAGAGGCAACTAGACTTTCTGATTTTTTTTCTTTGAAGACGTTTTGCTTCTCGTCCAAGAAACTTCTTCAGCTCTGACTGGAAAGCTTCTTCAAGTCAGAGTTGAAGAAGCTTCTTGAATGAGAAGCGAAATGTCTTCAAAGAAAAAACAGGAAGTCCAGTTGCCTCTTGAAAAAAAAAAGCACCTTTGGGACTAAGGGGCTGCCACAAAGAAGAGGGGCTTAACCGATTCTCCAAAGAACTAGAAAGCTGGACAAGAAGCAATGGGTGGAAACTAATCAAGGAGAGAAGGAACTTAGAACTAAGGAGAAATTTCTTGACAGTGAGACCAATTAATCAGTGGAACGACTTGCCTCTAGAAGTTGTAAATGCTCCAACACTGGAGGTTTTTAAGAAGAGTTTGGACAACCACTTGTCTGAAATGTTATAAGGTCGACTACTTGAGCAGGGGGTTGGACTAGAAGACCTCCAAGTTCCCTTCCAACTTTGTTATTTTGCTATTCTGTTAAGATGACAACCTCCACAAGTCTTAAAGCTGTCAAGTTTGAAGACCCCTGCCATAGATTGAAGGAATTCAATCTTTTTTTTCCATTTTTCTTTTGGGTGTTACTTTAAGGCAGGGATCTCCAAACTTGGCAACTTTTGAGACCTGTGGACAAAGGAAAAAAAATCGTAGTTGTTGTCTATGGCTCACACGAGTGTCATCCTTGCACAAGAGGCGCTGTTTCTATTCGCAAAGGGGTGAGTGGGTGGGTGTGTGAATGGGTGGGAGGAAAAACAGCCTCGGTCACTGGGTGGAACGCTCTGCCTACAATTCCCAGCATGCAATGCACCAGAGGCGGTTTTTCTGCATTCGTGCGAACGGGAAAGTGATCCAGAAGAAGCAGGTTTTCGTTGGACGGGTCTGTGGGGGTTGCACGCGGGCAAAGCTAGGAAAGGAAGCGAGCCAGCCAAGCAGAGAGCCGACAGCAAGGCTAACCGCGATCCCCTCCAGAAGGATTGGGCTTGGATCTGATCCTGGAGCTGGAACCGCTCCTTTCCACCAAAAGTAAGAGGAGGCAGGGAAGGGGGGGAGTGCCCGCTCTTGGGCTGTGGTTGTGGGATCGGGTAAGAGGGAGATAGGGGTCTGCTGTAGAGATGCAACCGATCCGCCTGAGCCTCTGCTTAATCCGAGCTGCGAAGTAGCGATTCCCTCAAAAGGAGGAAAATAAAATGTTGCAAGAGGGAGAATTGATCGGGATGCAATCAATTCCGATTGCATAGAGCAGAGGTCTCCAAACTTGGCAACTTTGAGACTTGTGGACTTCAACTCCCAGAATTCCTCAGCCAGCCATGCTGGCTGGGGAATTCTGGGAGTTGAAATCCACAAGTCTCAAAGTTGCCAAGTTAGAACAAGCACTGGAAAAAGTGACTTATGACCATTTTTCACACTTATGACCATTGCAGCATCTCCATGATCCCATGATCAAAATTTGGTTGCTTGGTAACGGCATGTATTTAAGGCAGTTGCATTATCCAGGGGCCACGTGGTCCCCATGTTGTAACCTTCTCAGATGGCTTCTGACAAGCGCAGTCAGTGGAAAAGCCAGATTTGCTTAGTGACTGTATGATTCACTTAACAACTGCAGTGATTTGCTTAACAACTATGGCAAAAAGCTTGGAAAATTTGGGCAAAATTCATTTAACAACTGAAAATTTTGGTCTGGATTGTGGTCGTAAGTCAAAGACTACCTGTCATCCCAGAATCTTGAAAACTGATCCAAGTTTGTTCGTTCTTATATTAAGCAAAATCAAGGTGGGGTTGAGTTTCTTTGTCTTTCTTCCCTTTATTTTTGGATTCTATCGTCTTTTGTGGTTGTGTGATGCCTTATCCAAAGTGAAAATGTGAATTTGAGGTGTTTTTTTTCCCCCCAGCTCTTTACTGCAGGGAATTGGTTCTCAAAAACATGTTACAAACCAAAGTCAAAACAGAAAAACCAGGTAAGATGCTTCAGGAATGTTCTGCTATAAAAATTCAAGGATTTGAATTTTATCCAACCTTGTCTCTCCCATTCCTATGCTTCAGTTTGGATTGCGTTAAAAGTAAACGTTATTTAGCTTTTTAAGAGAGTAATTCACAAACCTTTGGGGGGAATTTCCTAGACCTGAAAAGAAAAAAACAGGCGACTTTATTGTTAACTTAAAAAAAAAAAAAAGAAACGTCATGAATTCCTCTCATTGCTTTATGCTAGAGTAACAAACTCTCGTCATCCTCAGATCTCGAGACGGCCAATGCTCGAAACCGTCTTGATGCTGTCCTACAGTGTCTGCTGGAGAAAACTGATGTTGACAGGTAAGGGAAAGGTTCCCCTCGCACATACGTGCTAGTCGTTTCTGGCTCTAGGGGGTGATGCTCATCTCCGTTACAAAGCCGAAAAGCCAGTGTTGTCCGAAAACGTCTCTGTGGTCATGTGGCCGGCATGACTAAACACCGAAGGTGCATGGAACGCTGTTACCTTCCCACCAAAGTGGTCCCTATTTTTCTACTTGCATTTTTACATGCTTTCGAACTGCTAGGTTGGCAGAAGTTCAGCAAGTCAGTTCTGAGCACTGGGAACGAATCTGAAACCCCTCCGTTGATATTTGAAAGGTGCTAAAACAGTTGAGTGGGCCATTTTTGCTTTTTACTGCTGAACATTTCCTAAATGTTCATCTGCAAGATGCATCAGGATTATAATTTCCAGAATTCCTTGCCAATGTGGCCAAAGTCCCAGCACATCTGATGAGTTAGGGTAGAATATTCCAAACAGCAGAACTCAAGAGCTTGAGGTGCCAAAAACGGGGTTTTTCAACTAAAGAACTAGTTTCAACATATTAGTTCATTTTCTGAATCAACTTAGCCAAGCTTGATTGGCTAAGCCCATGAACAGACAACCTGTGAACATTACTAGAGATTACCACTAGAGATAGTCCTCAACATACGACCGTAATGGAACCTGCCCATTGCAGTTGTAAAATGGGTCTGTTGTGATTTTTTAAAAACAGTTTTTGCAATTGTAAAGTGAGCACCATGATCAATGGTTCACTGTGGTCATAGCGTTGCCCAAAAACAGCAGTGCCGTTTTTTAGCAGCATTTTTGTGAAATGGGGCCATGTGATCATGGGACGCCTCAAATGGTCATAAATGCGAACGTATTGCTGAGTGCTCAAAGTTTGGTCATGTGATTGTGAAAGGGAGCCATTTGAACTTCGAATCCGGTTTGTAAGTCCCCTTTATTGGGTTGTACATAACTTCGAAGAGTTGCTAAGTGATCAGTTGTAAGTTGAGGAACACTGGGTATCGCTGCACCCAGTATTATATAGATATAGGTACTCTACTACAACTCCAGTATCCGTAGGAAGCATGGCCAATGATGAGTGATGCTGGGAGTTGTAGTAGAGTAAGGCTGGGCGTGCCAGGGGTTTCCTGTCTTGGGTTAAAGATTCTTGCAAATATTTTCCTATTGTAACCAGCCTGTCAATCTCTCATTTCTCACGAGGCCGTTGTCAGGAAGAACCCCCCAAGGGTAGGGTTGGAAATGATGGTTGGGTTGAATAGGAAAGTAGATAAAGACCCAAGGAAAGAGTATGGGAGGCAAGTCAAAAAGAGAAGAAGTGAAATTTCCAAGAGGATAAGAGACGATGGATAGGAAGGATTTTTATTAAAAAAAACAATTGGCTGTTAATAATTAGAATAGATGAAAAAATTAGAAATAGGGTGAATATTGATACACATATTTTTACTTAACATGTCTAAAGTGAATGTTAGAGGATAAGATCAGACTTTGAAAGAGGATCTTTGCTCAATAATTATGCTATTACTTTTAGAAGGCTGTAGCAAATATTGAACAATTGAAAAAGGAAGGATTATGTGTTAATACTGATATGTATAATAACATTAATTATGTAAGTTTGATTAATATGGTAATTTTTATCTGTATCAATACTATTTTGGTACCAAAACGAATAATACTCAGACTCAGAACCCCCAAGGGAACATTCATGTTTTGGACAAAGCCAATTACATTTCTTTTTCTTTTCTGATTCATCTCAGGGATCAAATGGAAGAGGACCCTGGAAAGACGTCATCAGATACGCTCAGCAAGTAAGGAGCAGCCATAATGTTCAACCTTCTCCTTTATCTTTGCACTTTGGCCTGCCTCAAGTCATTAGCTGAATTCTGGCAGAGAAAGGGGTTTGGTTATTTTTTAGAGAAGCTCGCCATGTTCATATGTCAGTCAGGCATTGAGATGATTGGCGTATGTCTTCTCGGCGTCTCTGAAATCCTTTGCTTTGCTCTTCTTTCAGAAGTACCCGAGAGGCATTTGAGAAGTGGGTTGAAAAATCTTTTATCTTCCCCAAGCAACCTCCAACTTTTAGCATCCCCTACAACAACCAGCAATATATCTATCTAATTGTCCTTCTTTCTGCTTGCTTGATTTTGAAGCTTTTTCAAAATGACGCATTAAAAAAAGTATATATAATATTTTTACACCTATTTATAATATTCACGATTACCAGACTTTCAAAAAAAGAGGCATTACTCGTGGTCTGGGACAGCAGACCCCAAAGAGCTGAGGAATTTATATCCTTCCGGGTGTACCTGGACTACGATTCCCAGCATTCATGGGAAGCGTAGTCCAACAATATCTGGAGGCTACAGATTTCCTTCCCTGCTCCAGTCTATAGACTTGCTAACCCTGCTGAGAACCAACTTCCTAGAAAAGCGATTTTCTTTCTGGTGGGGCTGTTGCCTGCTAGGTATTTCCTAACCTCTCTTGCTTTGCGGTTGCAGGGACCCTTCTCCTATTGCTACAGGAAAGAGGTATGGTTCTTAGCACTGTCCTTCTTGCCTACTGATGACCACAGAGTGGGAGAATTTAGAAAGTTTTCTTACTGAGTTCAACTGAAGATCTAAAGGGGGGGAAAAAATCACGCAAGTGTGTGGCACAGAATTCTGCAGCCTGGTTCACACGTAATTGTGTTGAATGCCATCAGGGTCTGATTCTCACATTGTTTTCAATGCTGGTTTTGTTTTGGGATTCCTCCCTGGCAGTTCTCGCAGCCAAAGAGACAAGCAAAAGGAGTGGCTTGTTGTTGTTGTTTTTTAGTTGTGGGAATGAGTGCAGCCAATGCATTCTGTTCTCTCCCTTGCAACAGCATTTGGAATTCAGAGCTTTCTTGAGAACAGCCTTCTCAAAAGCAATACCCCTATCTCTGCTCAATTTTAAGGTGCCTCCAGCTGCAACTGTGACCGGAGACACTACAAAAAAGTTTATAGTTTCTTACGATCCGTTTGCGGGGTTTTCAGTTTTGCTCATTGCAGCCCAGAAAACTTTGGAAGGGGCATGGCCTAGAAATACTTTTAATGAATATGCAAACCAGCAACTGACTTGTAGCTCTTGCTGCATTTGGATTTTTAAAAGCTGATCGCAAACAGGAAGGAGAGCAATTTGGATGCTCAGTAACCCATTTCCCATGACCCTTGGGTTGATTGTGTTATCTATTCAAAATATAGATGTTTTATACTATATGAAGTAATAAATAGGCTGGAGCAAAAAAAATTGTATAATTGCCCTGGCACAATTAAGACGTACTTCTAGGCGGACAACAAGCCAGCTCAGAATGATGAAAGGACAGAAGCTAGCTTTAAACTTTTGCCACTGCTGTGATCTGAGCTAGATCCCATTACCCTAGCATGCTTGCTGTTCCCAGTGGGATCCAAATTCCATCACATGTCTAAAATAGGTGTGTCCAATCCACAGGCCACATGCGGCCCTGGACATCTAGTAATGTGGCCCCACGAGATTGTAAACTTTTAACATCATTATATGTGTTTATATTCATGAACTAAATTATACATTTTATATAAGGCCCAGGTAAACCAAAAGGTTGGGCATGGCTGGTCTAAAGGAAAACAGGTGTACACATTTTTCTTCAGCGCCAAGCTGACTTGTCTAGATCAAGAAAAAAAAAAACAGCATGCAAAAGAACTAAGAAGTTGCAGATTCGTACACTTTGTGGATACACTATGACTTGGTTTCCAATCATCGTATATGATAGCCGTGGTGGTGCAGTGGTTAGAATGCAGTACTGCAAGCTGCTTCTGCCGGCTGCCTGCAATTTGGCAGTTCAAATCTCACCAGGCTCAAGGTTGATTCAGCCTTCCTTCCTTCCAAGGTGGGTAAAATGAGGACCCAGATTGTTGGGGGCAACAGGCCGACTCTGTAAACCGCTTAGAGAGGGCTGTAAAAGCACTGTGAAGTGGTTTATAAGTCTATGTGCCACGTGCTACTGTTCCAAATGCCAGTGTTCAGAGTCATGGAACCCTAATGCAGGAAGGGATGGTTAAGCCCAACTTCCTGCCCAGTGCAGGAATCCCAATTAAGCCTCCTTCACAAAAGGCGACTAGCCTCCTTAAAAAACAGAAACAAAGCTTAATGTCTTCTCCATTCATTCCGGGTGTTCCAGCTGTCTTGTCCCAGGACCCTTATGAGATCCTTCCATCAGGTTCTTCAGAGCCCGTGGAAGGAGTCATAATAGAGTTGGATGACATTCTCAGCAGTCTCACCGTTCCCCTCTGCTCAGTGCAAAACCTCCGGTTACTTGCATCACTCTCTGATGCTTTTGTGTCCTCAGGCCTTCCACCCGATTCTCCCATCACCGTCGGAAGAAGAGGAAAGAGATGGACGACGGACTCACTGAAGGGGGACCACAAAAGCAGAGTGAGTGGAAACATCAGAGCTGCCTTGGGGACACTTGAGCCAAATCATTGATTCTGGGCAGGGGTGAGCTGCTACCGGTTTGCCCCGGTTTGAGCAAACCGGTAGCTAATTTTATCGTTTTTAATTACCGGTTCAGTGAACTGGTAAATCTCACCCTTGCTGGTCCAGCCCACCCTGCCCCTCTCAGGAGTCCCCAATGCGGCCAGTTTTGGATGCCAGGTAAGTACAGGGCCCGCGCAGAGGTTCTGGGAGGGTGAAAAATGGGCCCCCGGGAGGCTCTGGAAGGCTGAAAACAGGCTCGTTTCAAGCCTCCGGAGGCTGGGGAGGCTGTTTTCACCCTCTCAGAGACTCAAGGAAAGTGTGATGACCCAGGGTGGGATACAGAACAAACACAGTCACAGAAAACAGGTGAAGCCCCTTTTATTCCTTCACTTTGCTTCCAAGCTCCAAATATTCCTGACAGAAGGCAAAAAACTCCCACACAGTTACAAGAAGAAGGGAAAAAGCAACACAAACCAGGCAAGATATGGGCTGGAGGACGTCCACAGATAACAGAACACACACTGGGAAGGACGTCAAACTCAGAGAGGAACTATAAACTAGAGATATTTACATGCTTTGTTTCCAGCGTTCGCCAGTACGCAGGTCCATCCTCTTATCCAGTTGTCACAGCTGCAGCCCATGAAGAGGATCAAGGCCTTCTCCTCCCAAGGAGACCACGTCTCTCCCTTACCCTCTCCTCCCTGCATGCCCTAGGGTGAAGAGGGGATGGGCCTGGGTCCTCCTCTGACTGCCCAGCCGGCCTCTGCCCTTCCCCAGCCTCCTCCACAACCTCTGGAGCCACACTTCCACTCCCTGTGTCGCCTGTTCCTCCTTTCCCTCAGAGTCAGTCTCCACCAGGGACATGACAGAAAGCCTCTGGAGCCCAGGGAGGGCGAAACACCCACCCACCCACGCACACACACACCATGGTGCAGGAAGCCGACTAGGCCACGCCCACCCAGCAACCAGGCAGAGAACTGGTTGCTGAAATTTTTGAATCCCACCCCTGATTCTGCGGAAGAGTTAAACTGCTGACCTTAGGGATGCAAAGCTTAGGTTTTGCTGCTGAATGATGACCCCCACCTACCACATCCCTTCTCCCCTATTCTCAAGCCACCTTCGATTTCATCCAGCATCATCCAGCTCTGATTTAAGACCTGCCTCTTAATTTATTTCTTTGTAATGCATCTTTATCCTTGCAGACACCTACATCATCAAGCTGTTTGATCGAAGTGTAGACCTGGCCCAGTTCTCCGAGAGCACCCCACTCTACCCCATCTGCCGAGCTTGGATGCGGAATAGTCCCATGGTGAGGGAACAGGAGCGATCTCCCAGCCCAAACCTGCCCACCCTGCTTGAAGATGAAGAGGTACAGTACAGGATTCTCCAGTCTGGCTTCTAGTGGGGGGGGGGGAGTCTTTTCATTGGTCAAACAAAAGCCGAGTTTACTGCTGTCCACAAATTTTTCTCTGGGGGATTAAAATGTATTGCGTGCCTTTCACTCCATGACTCACACAATTGAGGAGGTCAGGCCAGTACATATGTGATCCAAATGAAGTCTGGATCTGACCTGGGACCTTTTATGCACACAAGTTCTTTACCCGTGTGGCATCTTGTGTAGGTAGTTCTTGTTAAGTGACCATCTGCAGTTATGTGATGAAAAAGGAACTTTATGACCCCACAGTCCTCCTCTTCCTCCTCCTCCTCCTTGAAAAGCCCATTCCCTTCTAGCACTCATGATGTTCCCTAGTTCGGTAATGAAACACCTGCAAGAAAACAGCCCTTCTTCTTCTTCTTCTTCTTCTTCTTCTTCTTCTTCTTCTTCTTCT